ACACAGACAACCCCGTAACAATATGCGTTTTGTACTGCTGTTACGCAGCACAAAACGCATAAAAAATTGCCGACCTATCAAGTTCCATTGCATCTAATTTGTAGCGAATGAGGGATGTCCGCACCCCGTATCGAGTCCCACTGCCACGATAGAGACAAAGTTTTCAGTTCATTACAGTACACCAGTAGGACAAGAGGCGGGCTGAGAGCGGCGGGGATGAATCGTTTCCGACGAACGAATGATTCACTGCATGAGATTGTTCAAAACATTTATTTTTCCCCCGAATTTATTCCAGATTTGGTTAAAAGGCACAGTAGTTACGGTGCCTAAAATGTTGTGCATGCGATTGACAAGAGGTCGCTTCTTTCTAAAAAAAATAAGCAAACGAGATGTATTGCTGCTTTAGCATTTTATATTAATTTTTCTGAAGATTTAAGTATAATAATAACGACATCAATAACAATGACAATATCAATATTGTAAATAATAATAACAAAGATAATAATGAGGATAACAGTGTATGTCTTTGCTCAGTGTAGCAGCGCCAAAAAAGTTTCAAAGACATTTAAATTCCAACTGTTTCCTAGTAGTAAACTATTATCACTGTTATTGTAATCGTTGTAAATACTGTCATTATCATTTCCACGATTATTAGTATGGTAAATCCTTGCTTTTCCGCAATCAACAAAATCTCACAATTATAATTTCTTCATCACTTTGTCTTTATTACCACTGTTATCATTGCCCTTACTAAATTTATCATTATCATCATCGTAAGTCGCTATTATATATTCGTTCAGCAAAAAACGAACGGATTGTGCCCTTCGCTGTGGACATCCATCAAAGTCGTTCGCTCTGGAAAATGTTCCGTCCGCTTCATGTAGCGATTCATTTGAGGTGAACATACAAGCAATTACTGATTCGTTCATTCATTCCTTCTTCAAGCTAAAATTATATCAATGGAGCATCAAATGGCATACCGGAGTATAAGGATTGAATTTCGTCAGTTTTAATTCAAGCCTAATGTACCAGTATTAGGATATGTTGTTCATCTTGCTGATAACCGATGAATGTTGCGTATTAGTGACCGGTGAAAAGCAAATGACCACTCGTGCGAGTTTGTGAAGAGGTGGCATTTTATACATGGAACAGAGAGAGGAAGGCACTAATTGGAAGTATGCAGCTCAGAATCAAAGAGCCTGGAACAGCTGTGCGCGAATCATGCAACAAGCATCTGGTAAGAAGTAAACCATTTTGAGGAATTCAAGGATATCACTTGGAAACAGACAGAGATAGGGAATGAAGTTGATTAAAAGTTGTAAAGTGTGATATATGGGAAACA